AGAACATATCATCACAGAAAGTTCTAGTGGGCAGTGCTGGTTTAAAGGATGGAGAAAGGAGGCTCCAGAGAAAGGAGCAAGAATGACCTCAGTTCATGAGTCCAGAAAGTGGGCCCCAAACTCTGCCATCTTTGGATGGCAAGACTTTGTTTTAATACGATAGAAATTAAGATGAATCCTAAAGTTTTCTCTTTTTCGAACTACAGTGGGTGGGGTGTTGATGATGCTAGAAGGTCATAAGTACTCACACATGTCATCTTACATCATCTCCGTACAATCCGCAGGAGGTAAAAACAATAATCCCCCCACACAGTGCCAGAGACCCTGCGGCGAGTGCCTGGATTCCAAGCGCACGTCCCCTCCAAAAGCCAGAGCTCTCCAGCTGCGTGGGGACTCCACGTGAGGAGGTGGCAGCAGAGGTGCGACCAGCAGACCCCTCGTGCACAAGGGGTGGTCCGTCCTCATCAGTATCTTTCTCCCGCTGGCCTCACGTCTTCCTGATGCAGAGCGTGCTGATTCCCACGCATCAGTATTGCTTCCTAACGCCAGTCTAATCCCCTTCCCTCCAGAGACCCACCTCTGGGCTTTCTAAGTCCATCCACTTCTTCTCATATGAGGGTACCGCAAAGAAGTCAAGGGAAGGCTCAGACCACCTTTCAGTTCTATGTTTCCACGAACTTTCTGAAATATCCTCGTATGCTTCTCATGACAGGTTATAATAACGCCCCCAACCAGTTCAAACTCTCTCAGGCTTCAGTTTGCAGAATGGAGCAGTCACCCTATGCAATGTACTTGGTGTTCTGATATTCCTCACACATACTGGTATTGACCTCCTAAATATCTTGAATGACTTCACGCTACGAAAAGAAACTCGACTTGTGTACAGAAAAGTAATTTGCTGAAGGCTGAGCTACGGTAAAGAATATTTCCTCTTAGACGTGAGTGTCACCAGTCCAGGTGCACCAAGCAGGTGCACTAAGCTCCTCCCCATAGTTTATAACAGCTCAGCTTGGATATAGTCTATGTCTCATTAAATTGCTTAGAACGTTACAATTGATCATTTTTTAGACAGCAATCACTTTTTAAAGCTTTTTCAATTGCCCTAAAGGTTGACATCCCAACAATGCTGTTGGAAGATGTGTTGGACGATATTGTCTGAGGACCCCACAGGAGGGCTGAGGACAGCCACCTGCCACAAAGACCGTGGCCTTACCTCCGGGGAGAGCCGTCCTCGTGGGGCTGGATGATGACCACCTTCACCGTCACCGAAGTCCGCAGCAGGTCGATCATCTGCTCGTGCGTCAGTGTGGCCACAGCCACTTTGCAGATCTCCACAAGGCGGCTCCCTTGGCGAAGGCCAGCCTTCCAGGCAAAGCCGAAGGGCTCCACGTCTGCCACGATTCCTTCAAAATTCACATGGAAGCCGAGCTGGCCCAGCCCATTCCTCCGCAAGGTCATTTCCACTGTCTCACAGCCTCGCGTCACTATCTAGAGGGAAGGAGACTGTTAGAGACGCCCCTTCTGTCCAGGCCACCCGGGGCCCCACCAGGTGCACACATGGACCCCCTGTCAGCCCCTCTCCCCACGGCTCAAACTGCAACTGCTCACGTGACAAGTCCAGGACACACTTAACTCCAGAGCTCACAATTAACCTTGGCATCGGGCCCAGAGAAAACAACAGAAAGCACAACAGTGGTTTCATTCCCCAAAGGCATACCTACCCCTGACACAGGTGTCTGCTTAGGCGGCCCTGATCTAGGGCTTGTGACCTGAAGGTGGGCTCTGATAACCCCCTCCTCCCCTCTCTCATGTCAAACGAATGGGCTCTCATGCATAGGAATCCCACTGTCCCACGTGGATTATAGCAACGGAGAAAATGTAAGGACTTTCGAAACCACTGCAAGTTTCAACCACGAGGCACTAAAACCCATCAGGCAGTTTCAACTCAAAAAATTTTTAAAAAGGGCCCAAAGCACCTCCAAGCTGACACTCAGTGGCCCACCCCTCAGTTCAGGGAGGGCCACGGCAGGCAGGAAGTCAGCAGTAAGAAGACTCTGAGTGCTCTCTGTGCACCAGCCTGTGCACGTCCTGCAGAGGTCCTGTTCTGTCCCCTAGGGGCCCTCTCCTGGGGGCTGACTGCCCATGCAGGCTGGACAGACTCCCTGCCATCTGTCAACAGGGGAGGCATGCAGGTGCAGGCGGGCCTCTGTGCTGAGGGCTGCTTCTCCTCCACAGGGCCAGCCCTGGGCCCAGGCAGCCCCCAGCAGTGACAGTCCAGTGCTCCCACTGCCCCAGGAGAGGGCGTCTACGGCAGGACCACCGAACGTGACACATCAAAAAAGGTGGTTTGCGGCCCACTCCATGTACAAAAGCCCCGGTAATTAGTTAACTCAACCTTCCAAAGCTCTTACCGAGCGTAGTTTACATGCAATGAAAGAAAAACACGGGCTCATTAAATATCATTTGATGACGATGACATCACTTATTTGTGGGAAATTTCAAGTCGAGATGTATCACATCCTCAGCCCCAAAAGCCCAGAGGCAGTGTATGAAGTTTCGGTTTAATAAATGCTCCATTTCCATGAAACATGCTCTGAATCCACAGACACCCATTTAGTAAGACCCACGGCTGTCAGTGCAGCCGTGGGACCGGAGTCGGATCCGCGCGCCACCGCTGTGTCTGACATTTCCATGGTTACCACAGCACGCACACTGTCAATCAGCTTCTTCCCGGCAGGCTTAGGAAGACAGGACGGGAATTGCTGGAACTAGTTAGTGGTGAAGTTTTGAATGATTGAAGTTTCCAGAGTTAGGAACTGAACTAATTTAAAACTGCTGGAAAAAGTACTTCTGTAATATATACAACCCAAATACATTTTTCCTTCACTCCTTTTTCCATGCTGTCCTAAGGCACCCTCCC